TATAGAGTAACATAAGTGCGTTATCAAGAACATGTTTCCGTAGCTTGTCCCATGTGATTCCGCATTCGACGCCGTGCAGTTCGCCTAATCCAAACGTCAAACACGGTTACCTGTCCCACTTGAATCCGTATCACATGGAGATCTTTCTTTCCATCTTGGATCTCTCTTACGTCGCTGCGTTGAAATTTGATTGCCGACCCGGCCTGAAGTTTCTGGTGCAGAAGGTGGCGAATCTTGAGCAGCCGGCGAATTTGTATCGTCAGGCGGCCGCTGCCTGGACCATCAAAATCATCACACTATTCGAACTGTGCTTGCGCGAGATAGAGGAACTAAACGCGACCTTGGAACTGGTTAAGACCATTCTAGGCACAGGGCTAAACGATCGGGAGTGCGTCTACGACATAAAGCATCGGAAGCTCACCAAGTATCTTCGACAACTACGTATGATTTTCGATGAGCTCTGTGAGACCTACGTTGAGGTGGTCCTCGATGAGGATGGCAGGTATACCAAGGTCGATAGTTTCGCAGAGAGAAAGATATTTTTGTTAGTGGCGCAGCCCGATGATTATCCCGAGATCACCAGAAAGGAAGCTATCGACGATCGACTCGCTGCCAGCACTCCAGCACCCGTCGGCTTAGAAGATCCTGATGTTCAACCGAACGACGAAGAGGACGACCAGGATGATCCAGATGATGTCGACGTATATAATCCAAATTTGGACGACGAGAGTGGTTTAGAAGAACTCGGAGCTGAATGTGAAAATGATCCGAGGCCGTTCAGACTGTCGGACTTGGCCGCAGAATACTCGACTGATTCTGGTCCGCAGTCCGAGCCGGAAACCGACGACTCGAGACCGATGTCCAGGCTTGGTTCAGTCACAGAGAAAGTTGTCTATCTTGATCGCTCGGGTGGTACCTCCAGCGAGGATTATATCGATGCCAAGTACGATGCCGTGACACCAGCACCTCCAAACATGATATATGATAGCGATGATCTCCGCTGTAATTTAGAATCATTTTGGGGAACAGAGTCGACCGACGCCTCTTCCATGAGAACCATGGCGAACGTAAAAATGCTCGATCGGGATGCATTCTCGGACGAAACTTTTTTATACCAGAAATCATATCCAGAAAGACGCGGTAGCGACGTATGTCCGTTGTCTAGGCGAAAATCCTTAACATTCATCACTACAACGGACCTCGAAGATGCGAATAAGTCATCGCTAGCCGCAGAATCCGTGGATCTTCGACCAAGATCGGTGATGGAACTCCGCGAAACAAAACGTCCCGTCTGGACGACATCCAGTGAACCTTGCGAGCTGAAAACAGGTAATGAAGAGGAGAACAAAAATAATTCTAAATCCTCGCAGATTCTTGACAATATAGACGAATTGCTGCGCGATTACGAACGTAGCAAGCGTGGCTTCAGAACGAATCCCTTTTTGCGGGACGAAGGAGATAAGGAGATAACTGCAGCCGAGAGTCAGCCAATCATCAATCAGGAAGTGGAGTTTCAGCGGAGAAACGTTAATAAAGATAGCGAAGCCCACAGAAAAGCATGGGCAGATACTCTGAACACTGCGCTGGAATGGGCCTTAGTTTTGCCAGTGAGTTACATACATAACTTTCTTATATTATATCATGAAAGATTCCAATATCAAATTCGAAATTGTAGACAAGTACTCTTTTCCGAGTGAATAATTTAGTCTCTCAAATAAGAATTTATGTGTAATTGTACAAGTCTGTAAATCATTTACATTATTTTCACATTCCATTTGATCGTTTCAAACGTGTCTTGCAGGATGAACGATTGGCACCGTTACTTCCGGTTTTCGTTGGCGGCGTGCGAACACTGACCAGGCACGCCGTAGATCAAAGTCTGAAGCAGCGTCTCTCGGCTTTCTTTCATCGTATCGCCGTGCTTTATGGATTGACAAATAATTAATAGCAATCGTGTTTTATGCGCGATCGCAGCCTTAGATCGTAAGACTCTTCAAGAAGCCGAAAAAGGATTTGATATGTCCGTGATATAATTTATTCTTTTCATATTCTTTATTGTTACTGCGATGAAACTATTGCTCGCAAGTCCAAGAGAGAGGAAAGCAAAAAAAGCAAGATCTGTCAATGTATCTTATTTGCGATCGAGTTGAGAAGGAGATCGTAAGATTGATACGAATTTTATCGGATGATTTAAAAACGAAAAACGTATGTGCGACGCGTTCCCGTTTCCGCACGCGGATCTCTATTTTTCTTCCCGCGTCGACACGTCGGAGACAAGGATTTTATTTACGATCCATTCCGCACGCACATCCCTCGATTCTCATTTTATGCTCTTTGCGCTTAACTGTAGTTTGCGGTTCGGTCGTAGTGCCGGGTGTAGCGCCCGGATTTTTGCTTCCAACACGTAAAGCTTGAGAACGCGGGCGACTCGTCTCGCGAATAGAGAATGATATTGGCACACACTCCTCTGTTCACTTGCCAAAACGACATCTCCAGGAGTGAAGTGTACCATCATTTTTTTACGCAATTTCTCTCTTGCCAGTATAGATACTCGCGATTATTTATACGCGCGCATTTCCGTTTTTCATAAAAAGTAGAATAAAAGATCTCTCGATGAGAGAAGCAGATTATATTAGTGCGACTATATTTTATTATATACAACGTAATTGTGAAACATATTGCTAGCGTAAATCTAATTAAGATTATAGTGTAATGCGTGTAATAATTTTTACATTGCGTTCCGTAAGTTGGAATATTATTTGTTGATTTAATTTATATTTTTCATTTTGTGCAATTAACACGTGTAGAGATAATATAATTGAACGTTGTGTGATGTATATATTATATCAAATATTATCTCCGATGTTTCTCTATGTATGGTATATTCCATAAACGTTGTAAATGTTGTTGAAGAGTATCAGATGGTTTAAAAATGGAGGGATTAATAATTGATAATAAAACGTGCCTACATGTATCCCCTGTTTTTTCCTCTCGAGATTGCATCTAGACGTACGAAAAGTAGAAAATATTGAAAGAAATCGTCGTAGATCAATGTGCAGCTAAAACGTCTGCATAATATATATATGACAATTTGCAAATAAAATGTATTTGACGAAGATGTGTATTAGCATTAAATAAATAAAATCAAATATCTGAGAACGTTAATGTAAATTATAATTGTGCGCGTTTTCGGAGATGTGATATTTTTAAATATAGGATCCAATTTGATTTCTAATATCGATATCTCGAAAATTGTGAATTTTTTTTATAGTTAAATATTCATTAAGACTGGATATGTAAGACTTTCTCTCAGAAAAATAATATTCTAGGATGAGAAAGACCATTAAAAAGACCATTTCTTCTCGATCGAGGTCGCGGATATCACACGATTTATTTCCATCGGCCATGCTCGGCTGGTACCAAAGATGTCGACCATTTCCTGCGAGACGAAACGTATTTCAGTTCGTCTTAACGGGCGCAGAAAAGGGCGGGAGACACTCTCGTCTGCGGTCGACTGCGAGTCGAGTCATCCTCGTAAAGAGAGAAGCTTACGAGCGACGACCGCCTCGGCTTATTCCGTGGTTTTATTCGTTGCGTCCCATTCGCAGGACGCGTCGGGGCTGTAAACATCGCAGCGAGAGACAGAGAGAGACGGAGAGAGGTGGAAGAGCGAAGAGATCTCTCTTCCAAGTGCGAAGTCATCGAAGTAGGAGAAATTTTTCATTCGGCTTTTTCCGCAGCCATTATCACCTGCGATTCTGATTGCAACGTCACTGTATTCTTTCCCGTTTAATCTATCCTCTTGGAAGAAGAAAAGAAAATGTACAAAATATTTAATTTATACACACTCTTCAAAAATGATTTTGATTCTTTCGATTTTTCAGTAAATAGAGAATGTTTGTACAAAATGTAATAAGTTACAAACTATATGATTATTTCTAATTAGAATACGGTGATATTTTTTTCTTGTTTTGAGTCGCTTCTTTGGTACTCCTTTCTTTGAAGTAATTTAGAGCATTAAATTTACAGAAACAAATAATGCGATTATACTAGGGAAGAGAAAGAGAGAGAGAGAAAAAGAGTTACTTACTGAGAAATGGACGTTCAGCTTGTTATTATACCTTTGATTCCAGTTACGAAGATTACTTTGTCGTTGTATACACATTGTCAAACGGCAAAATCGTCGAGAAGACGCTTATTAAGTTCTTAGCCACGTAGTAATTTCACATCAACGTACGTTTAGGAGAGACAATCTTCTATTATTTTCTATTATTTCCTGTGTCAAATACGATGGACAGTACGTTTTCACGGCGTGTTAGGTCTCTGGATTTCTAATTTAAAATTTCTGCATAATATCCAAGTCTAATAAACTGAAAGATTAATTCATTATAACATAAATTGAAAATTAACAAGTAAAGAGAGAAATCAGAAAATTATGAATAAAAATAATTTATCCAATCCTTTCACTTTTAATTAATATGTGAATAATTTTATATACATTATCTTTTGAATTATGATTTAAATAAATTAATTTAGCTACTCTTTGTAAATTACTTATTTATAAATCTTTCTAAAATAAATAAATTAATTATCGCACAAAGCAAGGGGTTAATTTAGGCGAAACGGGTTTAAAGATTTTGCTGACACGGAGCATGCACAGGGCGACTCGCTAATAATGGGACGCAGGAACGACGAACCGGCGATGTCGCGACCAGACAGACCGCAACTATCCATCCGTTCGTCATTTCCAGCATGCTTTAAATATTAAATAGAGCTCGCTGCGCTCGTAAAAAGGGTTATCCGTTCCCCCGCGATGGGAGAGACGACGACGTTGCTCTCTCTTTCCATTTGCCCTTATGATGCGAACGAAACTTTTTTTTTCTATCTGAGAAAGACAATCAGAATGTATTGTTCTCTTCATTGCATCTTTCTAAAATTAATTCTTGCAAAAAAGTTTAAGAAATTTATTTACATATGAAGAAAAATATAGAGAGGGTGATCCTTAGCTTTGATATCGACGTGAAATTTCTTTGTAAAACCTTAAGTGAAAGGATTTAGGAACCTGTCGGGCAAGACTTTATTTCATTTCTGAAAATATTTGTGTATTTACAAGCGTTACAGCGTTTGACTAACGTCAAGAATCAAACAGCATTCTCACGACTCGATTTTATATCGAAAACGAGCGAATAAGGTGATAATTATTCAGTCACTGATTAGTCTCATGTTTCGATTAATGAGATCTATCCGATCTGCTCGTTGATTTTTCATAAATGGTGCATATTTTTTTAACCAAAGTTTCTTTACTTTATCTCACATACTCGACACGTGAACGAGTCAATAATTTTCACTTTCATCACTATTACGAAACACCGGATATCGCTTACTTCAACAGAGTTCTCACACAATTGCAATAATTCGCGCGGATGATTACGAATGTTTGAGAGAATTGGCTGTCTCATATACAGCAAATGACGAAATGTCTCACGCACATTTTCCTGCCAGAATGTATTGACGTATGTTCTGCTATCTTTGTTCGTCGATATTTATATGTCGTCACTGCACTAACCAGAGATTATATATTGCCATAATCAATAAACTCGCATAAAAACTCACGCACGATAAAGTCGCCGGCGATTTCATATAATCATGTTAGTAGAGATACCTCTTCTCTTAATATGGTCTCCATACATCGTTCCTCTGTTCGCTCTCTTCCCCGAGCACGCCGATCTCTCGGATGCTACTGATGGTGAGATTGCCACCAGCTATGGTGACCTGTTCCTCGCTCAGATCGCCATGCAGATGTAAATGAATCTGATTCTGATTGACGGTGCTGTAGAGCTGAGGATAGAGGACCATAGGTGTCGGACCTGTGATGTAATTCTGACTTGGATTGTTATAGTAACCTTGATAATTGGGATTGTAATTGTGGGAGGCCACCGGGACCGGGGTCGCCGGGCCAGGTGTCCAGGAACCGTAGTGATAACCCGGACTGCCCGCATTGCCCGTACCACCGCCGGCGAAGATGTCAGGGTCGCTGGGCCTGGTCGGCACCAGCGGCAACGAGGTGGTCGGCGAAGTGCCGTGTCCCGAGTACATGGGCACGCAGTTCGGCGTGTAGGTATCCTGTTGATTTTCCGAGGAAAGCACTGCAAGCGGAAAACAAAATCGCTTCGATTTCCCAACTCTTCGTTCGAGGAGACAATTTAATTGCGAGAACCAAGAAAAAAAATTTTTTAATCAATAAATTGCGCTAATGTGATGATTGTTATCTAATATCTCTTAATAAATTTGCATTCTCGTGACATTTTCTTTGCCAAGATTTCAGCTTTAACTATAACTCGCGGTTTGTGAAACGTGTTTTGTCAATTTCGAATTTTATTATGATTTCCACCTTCGTAAATTATTAGCGAGACGACTTTACGAGCTTCCATATCTGAAGAATCGACTGTAATATAGTTTCGAAAATAGATACAAATGAAACACCTTTGAGATTACACGTTACGAACGGAGATTGCACGGCGCAAAGTTTTTTTCCTGGAACGAGTCATGCGTCAGAATATAATTAAATCGTCATAGGTTTTTAATTATCAACGACTCGGAAAATTGCATTATCGGATCTGCAGTATAAATTAGTTCAATTTTTTTGTACTATAATGTATATTAATCGATCATACCCGTTGGCAACGGTACCGGTTCCGTCGTCGGGTGATGCGACAGTGATTCTCCTGGATACGAAAACGCACCGCCTGGCAAAGGGGAATAGGACCCGCTGCTGCTGACTGGAGGAGCCGGATAAGACGGCGCTGTGGGTGGATAAGTCCATTCCGTGGTACCTACGCCCGTATCTGTAACAAAAAAATTATTTTTCTTTAGAATCGACTACTAATTGTGCAGGTAAAACGCATAAATATTTTATGAGGCAATGCCTTTATCTTTTATCTCCATCAAATCATTTAACATCATACATATGTATCTATATATAGGTATGTGTGTGTGTGTGTCTCTCTCTTTTTAATTTTCTAAAATAAATTCATTATAATAAATTCATTATTTAATATATTTTCTTAATTTGTATATACATATAAATAATTTAGAAATAAATAAATTTATACATAAATACATACATGCATGCATGTGTGTGTACATATATAATAGATGCAGAAATAACTTCTTAGTATTGTATTAAAAATTCATGTTTTACGAGATGAAATTATAATTAAATTATGATTTGATGGAGATAACAGATAAAAACATTATCTTATAAAATACTATTATTAAAAGAAAAAGATTACATGTACATATTCTTTGAAAAATTCTCTATAATAAATTAAATATTTAAAAATTAATTCATAAAAAATTAAACTTGTTTGGACACATGCCGTGAGCCTTGCTTCTTAAAATGCGCAGCAAATCGTATGAGTCGGTAACGGAGTTCCGAATGAGTAACAACCGGCAAATTAATTGACATGAGTCACGAATCGAAGAAGTCGCGACGGAAGTTTTAAGCGCTCGTCTGGTAGCGAATGTGTGTACGTGCATCGTGGGATGCACGCGTCGCGACGAGATTAATATCATTAACAAATAAAGCGATGTGATTGCATAAGAATCCCGATGATAAAAATAAAGTCTCAATCGTTCGCGAATAATCCGTATGACTTTCGTATCTTTCTCCAGGCTCTTCTTGTACTGTACAAGCGATTTCTTTGTCGCATACGCCAATTATGGCAATATTCTTGTGTATTTTAGTCGCGGAAGAAATCATTTTACCGTATCATAAGCTTCATGATTGCATTCTCATGCCGTACCTTCTCTTTCCCCAAGAGAGCTCGCTTCTAGGAAAGAAACTCAAATCACAATTCCTCGCATCGGTCGACTCTATTTGTAGGAAGCATTAGTAATATTATTTTATTTTGCATTTCTATCCTACGATCTGCATCGTAAAGTACTGGGATTTTCGAAACGGTAGAACGTTTCTCAAGCGAAAGAAATCGCTGGAAAGTCCGCGAAAACGTTAATGAATCTCATCGACGGACGATCAGCTGATGACAAAACTCGATTCTCAAGGGCGTGCTCATCGTCCGTTTGGTTTCAGAAATTATTTCATCGACTTATAATTTCTTGTCACACATCTCGAAATGTTTTTTTTTTCGACAGGAGAGCTTTCTTATATAAATTCTGAAAATTTTCGAGTTTTCAGAGAAGAAAAAAAAAGGAAATTTCAAAAGAAGAATTAATTGAAAATTTCTTGAGAAATTTTAAAGTTTATGACGTAAAAAATGCCAATTTTCATCTCGGCTGTCTTTTCGCAAAGAGATATATCTCGGGAAAAGATTTCGAAACGGTTTGCTTTGCGTGACTGTTGATAGAACCTCTGTTAACACAACACGTGTTTAATGATAATTATACCTCGCAGTTATGCTAAATATTTCGTTCGCACATAGCTTCGGAGAAAATTAACACGAAACTCATTGGAATTACCTCTTTCGCGTGCAAGCAATGGGGAAATACCTTCATCTTTATATGAAAACTATTTATATGTAAAATATTCTCCTCTCGCGAATTCATTTACAATCTTCTACAGACATGTAAGTCTCTCCTATTTAATAATATTACACATCAGCTGTTGCGTTGCACTTGTGACTTGTTAATTGGTAAATTGACACTATTTCATGCCGAGTATTTTTCCGAATCATTATTCTAGTTTTTCCAGAAGAAGTCATTGACACGTATGCGACGAGCAATATAATTTCAGATATCGTTTAGATCGGCCGAGCTCGATCTACCACGAGGCTAGGTCGAGGTCGAGACCGATCGGACAAAACTGTCGTTACGCCTATCGAGAGCGGAAGGTCGAGGTCGTTTCGGAATTCTCAAAGGGGACCGCCGTAGCAAGGAGGCGCTCGAGGGGCTGATTACCGAAAATGGCAGCGTATTTGCCGCAATTACCGGAACAACGGTAACAAAACAAAGGCACAAACACACTCGGGATAAGATCGGTGTCGGCACAGGACCATCTGTTGGATAATAGTCCGTTTCCCCCGATCCGGTTCCCGCTCTAGGAGCGAACGAGCAAGAAAAGGAGAGAGAAATGTTCGGTTCCATTCAAGACGGCTCTTTCTGTCCTCTTCTATTTTTTTTTTCCTTAGCAATGTTTCATTAGCACGGTGACCATACGTTCCGTACTCGTTTTTCAAACAGTTCTCAAACATGCACATTCTAATTAGCGTTGAGGACACTATAATTAATCATATTCATGTTTGCAATAATATAGTGACTAATGACGGCAGAATTTAGAGAAATATGGTTTCCAAAATCTTCTAGCTAGTGCACAAAAGGATTGATTCACGTGGGATCTAATGTCGAAAAATTTAATATCCGGTGATAAACAAGTCAAAAGTGGTCTCTTGATTTTTATTAACAATCACTAATAGCAAAATCTCCTAATTAATAATCTATCACTGTCAAACTTCTCTATATTGTTAATCGTCGTCGTTGGTTTGACATTTGGCGTCGAACAGCTGATCGTCACGCCGCTGCTCGCGTCGTCTCCGTTGACCGATTCTCAAGAGATGGCTTGTTCTTGCTCTTTAGGATCGCAGAGTTGTATCCATCGTCGTTGATCCTGACCGAAAGAAACGCACGAGTCCTGACCAAAGAAACTCCGCGAGCTGTTTACTACAGCCTCATCTTTCTCTCTTTCTCTCTCGCACACACACTCCGCGGGTGTGAAACCACAGTGAGGTGGTTTTGGTGCTTAGTCCTCCGACCAGCCATCTACTTAACGAACCGTCCATCGACCGCCGTCATTTCGTCGTTTCTCGGTTTCCCTCCCATCTAGCCGCCGCCCCCGTTCTTCCCCCTTTTGCGGGGAGAAGAGACGGAGGAGTCTCTTCTCCTCGAGGTGCTACCGCTATTCGGCGGTTCGATCGACCTCATCTTTTCGCTACCTACATCGTTTAAAATCCTTCAGAGATCTCTTCTCTGCGCTTTCAGAAAAGAGAGCCGACTCGGACTTTGATCGTGACCGTCAGCGTAACATGAAATAATATGAAAATCGAACTCTCTCTCGTCCTCGGACTATTGAATTCTAATTAGATGATCGGAACTGATTGGAATTACCTCGCCGATAATTCAAAGTTGTTCTTTTCTCATTCTTCAGATATAAATGTTCTCTCGTGAGGCGAAATTTTTCCTCCAAGTCACTCGAGATGAGAAAGAGAGCGTCGTCGCGCTTTCAGCGAGCGTCGGTTCCACCTCGTCGACCTCGTCCTTCATCGCTGTAGCGAGAATTTAGAATCCCGAGCGAGCCGAGAGATCAAAGCTGTTAAGGAGAAGAACTCAAGGAGTTTCGAAGTGGGGCTTCTCGGTTCCCACCGAGATAGATACTCGTTCGATCGTGTAATGTAAGTCGATATTGCCTCGATATATATTGCGGGTCCCGGGTTTATATACGCTATCGATATATCGGACAATATACAAGCCGGCCTCATAAACCGGCCTCGTAACGTACCAAAGAAGAACGCGAGAGAAGTCTTACTCGCAGGAAACTCGCGCGTATCGCTTACCATCCATACGATTTCTTCTTATACCGAGTATCCTGTCTCGAGGATAGTGTTTCTTCTCGGGGATGTCGACAATCTTGGCAGAGATTGTCTGCCGTCACTTCGATCTCTTAATATCTCGTCGAAAGAAAATATCTAAAAAGCGAGACTCGAACAAAAACTCTTATAAAAAATTTTCTAAATAATTTTTCTAATTTTAACGATGACACGTAAAATACAATCATTTTATTGCGATATTTTCTATAAAATAAATATTTACAATTAATAAAATAAATATATACTCTATAAATATTTACAATTTTGCAATAAAATTATAATGCAGCAAATGTATCAATATTTTGCCTAGTGATTAAAGGGTCCGATTTACTTTAGAAAATAAAAAAATCAAATCTTTTATATTTTTTAAGCATATGATATCTGAAGACTGTTTTTTCAAATTTTTTAAATTCGTAAATTTAAGAATTATAAAGTTTTGGAATAGTATACAGTGCAGGTTTTTAAATGAGTTTGTAAAACTTTAAACATTATTTTTAAAATTGTGACAAATATCGTGACAAATATCTCAAAAATTAATAGACTGAATAATTTCAATTTTTTTTAATGAAAGAGAACTTTAGATATACTGAACCTAAATAGAATTTTAAAAAATAATGATTCATATTTTTCTAATCTTTAAAAAATGGAAAAAGACTTTACAAAATTGAAAATATTAATAAAAACATATATAAAACATCAAAAAATTTAATTTCTAATATTCTTCAAAAAAAAAATTGCTAAAAATCATTGTTAGAATATATATTGGGCCTTTAATTAAATCGAACTATGTGAAAAAAGAAGCGCGAAGAGATTCTTTCCCATCGCGCGGTAACTCGATTACGCGCGTTGTTCCCTTACATCGATACTCCCCTGCGGGAGTCAGTAACCCGGGAGATGTTCAATCTGCGAAACCGAGATCGACAACGCCGCTCTGCTCGACTTCAATGACCATCGCCGGTAATTTCATTCGCTCGGTTTGCACTCTCGCGCCTCGAACTCCCTCCCTTCCGCCATCCCCCTCGTCTTCTCCCCGCAACCCCGCTCTCATTCACGTTGCCATTCATTCCCCGTTCGCGCATTCCTTTATCTCGCCGCATCCCGGGTGCTCCATTCAATTCCACGGATGCTGCGAATTTGCAAAAGGAGGAAATCTGTTTAGCGTAACGTCGCCGGCCGCAGAGCTCGGGAGTCTGCGTGTTTCGCACGCACGCATCGCACGCACGCATCGTGCCGTAATTTGCCTCGGG